TTAAATTAAATTAAATTAAATTAAATTAAATTAAATTAAAGTAAATTAATTAAAATTAAATAAAATAGAATATAATACAATAAATTAAAGTAAAATTAAATAAAATAAAATAGAATAAAAGAAAATAAAGTCAAATAAAACAAAATTAAATTAAATTAAACTAAATTAAATTAAGTTTAATTCAATAAAATTAGCTTAAATTAAATAAAAATAAAATTACATTAAATTGCATTTAACAAAATTAGAATTAGAATTAATTAAATCAAATCTTTAAATCCAGAAATACATTTTTTTAAATAACAAGATCAAATCATAAGGTTTCATTGATTACAAATTATCTACTTCTCTCTGCACCACTTCAGAGAAGCCAAGTTGACCCGTAAATTTTTTTCTTCATGAAATATACATATGTATTTATAAATAAATATAACCAACTACCTTATTTCGGAAAATTAAATTTTTCATTTCATTGCTTACCACCTTTGCTGTTTTATAGATCAACAAGAATTGATCGTAATGCGCACGCGCGCTATCCTCCAAACGCATTTGTCCCAAATCTTCCACTTCTAGGGGCTCTTTATAACCAAACCATAGCAGGGGAGTCAGCCACCAAAAACAAGCTTTCGAATAAAATGTTGCCAAAGTGTGTTTGTAGCCGATTTTCTCATAATCTTCTAAATAATCAGGGCGAAAACGCTGTAATGAATGCAAAAAATTCGAGGAATAATTAAAAGAGGCAAAAACTGCTGCTGTATTAATTATGGGGATTCTATTAAATGGAAAACTCGAAATGCAAAAATATTTCTCATACAAAATTTCTAATTTCCTTATAAAAAAAATAATTCGAAATTGGCGAGCCTTTTTTTAATTAAAGAAATATATGTATTAACTTTTTTCGCTTTTTTATGTTACACATTCGTTTTATTTCCTCTTACCTCTTTGTATAATGTAAAACCATCAATTGCCGCCATTCCCATCAACGAAACAGCTGATAATACTTGCAGACAATACTCCATTTCGTAAATATTTTGAAAATAGGAAATCTCAGCAAGCTCATAAGTACGTATAAAACAAATAAATAATTCAACAATGCATGTAAAGTAGAGGTAGTCTGAAAAAAAGCAGATTTAAATAAAGCATTGAGTGAAGTGTACGATTGAAGAAAAATTCAAAAAGTTAGGAAATTTATGTTAACAAAAACATGAAAGAAAACAAAAAATACAAAAACTAGCACTTTTTCATTTGGTCATTTAAAAGTTAGTATTTCGTAGCCAAAAATGTTTTTTTTTTTTTCTGCGCTATCAATTAATATTTATCTAATCTACTACTCACTTGTCGACTTCTTCACCTCCATCACGCGATGATACCACATTAGTATTATGGTGAGGAAGAGCGCTGCCAGGGCATTCCACAGCAAGTCGTTGCCAATGATTAAGATCGCATAATTATCCCCCATAACGTTAACAGCTGCTGCTTGTTGTTGCTGTAATTGTTGTGCTGATATGGGCAAAAGCGCGCGTGCTAATTCGATTGTATTTAGTGCGAACAACAGCAAAGCAACGGCAGCACGCAGATTATGATACAACAATAATGTGTGGTGGATTCTGGATTAAAGAAAGAAATTTATTGAATTTACTGAAAAGGCATACATATGTATAAACATAAATCTTACTTCTAAAATTTATATTTCTTTTTTTTTGTATTTCGAAAAATCGCATGTTACAAGTTTTTTATTTAATCTTTTATGTTTCTGTTTTTTTTTGCTTACAAGTTGAAAGTCAAAATCCAAGCTATAGTGCAGACCTCCTCAAATTCAGTAGACTTCCTTAAAGACAAATCTACAAATCTCATTCATAAAATAGCCAAATAAAGATAGCGAATAGAAAACCACGTATCGCATACAACAAAGTGCTGCAAGTAGTATCAAATCAACGTACATACAAATCCATATATACGCACATACTACATTAGGGTGTTCCAAAAATACACAGGAAAAGCAACTTTTTAGAATTTTCTTGCTAACACCCCCAGAATTAGAGAAAATGGAAAATAGGGACCGAATTTTTTTTTTAATCGGTTAATATTTAACCGCGCCTCTAAAGATTTCCAAATAAGTACTTATTTATTTTATATGGGGCAGGCAATGGCAAACCTCCGAGGGTATTTCTGCCATGAAAAACAGCTNTCAACAAAGTGCTGCAAGTACTATAAACGTACATACAAATTAATATATACGCACATACTACATTAGGGTGTTCCAAAAATACACAGGAAAAGCAACTTTTTAGAATTTTCTTACTATCACCCCCAGAATTAGAGAAAATGGAAAATAGGGACCGAATTTTTTTTTTTTAATCGGTTAATATTTAACCGCGCCTCTGAAGATTTCCAAATAAGTACTTATTTATTTTATATGGGGCAAATACATTTTTTTGTAGAACTGCTATAAAATCGTTGGAAGTAAATATTTTTTGATCAAAAAATTTTGTCCAAAACGTGCGAATACATAAATTAAATAAGAGCTGAGATTATCGGTTATGAAAAAATAGTTAGTTTGTAAAATTTTAAAGTTAAATACGCATTTATTGTTTGAAAACTTCTGAAGGGTAATGTATATTTTTATTCGAATCAAAAATTTTCATTTTTAACAGCAACTGTTATGAAAAAATGCCCCAGCGACATGATTTCAAAATGCGAGTCCCCTTGTTTTCGATATTTTTCAGTTATAGAGGCTGGCTGGAAAAAAAGTGTGGATCACCCTTAAGTATGTACATATTCATTAGCTCCACTTCACATAAATTCGGCGTTGTATTGTCGTCGCCAAGTGCCACTTGGCCAAAGATACACAAATCGATTTATCGGCTCGACTACACCTTACACCAATTAGTGCACCACAAATAGTGTTTGCAACAAAAACAAACGCACCGCACGCTGTAAGTGTANAATACATTTTTTTGTAGAAGTGCTATAAAATCGTTGGAAGTAAATATTTTTGGATCAAAAAATTTTGTCCAAAACGTGCGAACACATAAATTAAATAAAAGCTGAGATTATCGGTTATGAAAAAATAGTTAGTTTGTAAAATTTTAAAGTTAAATACGCATTTATTGTTTGAAAACTTCTGAAGGGTAATGTATATTTTTATTCGAATCAAAAATATTCATTTTTAACAGCAACTGTTATGAAAAAATGCCCCAGCGACATGATTTCAAAATGCGAGTCCCCTTGTTTTCGATATTTTTCAGCTATAGAGGCTGGCTGGAAAAAAAGTGTGGATCACCCTAAAGTATGTACATATTCATTAGCTCCACTTCACATAAATTCGGCGTTGTATTGTCGTCGCCAAGTGCCACTTGGCCAAAGATACACAAATCGATTTATCGGCTCGACTACACCTTACACCAATTAGTGCACCACAAATAGTGTTTGCAACAAAAACAAACGCACCGCACGCTGTAAGTGTACATAATAATAATAAAACAACAAAAGCAAACAGAAAACAACAAACAATCTAAATGCACCGCTGTTGAACGAGTAACACTTAGTGCATATGCGCCACATGCTCCATATCTACTATGTATGTATGTATGTATGTATGTATGAATGTAATTGTATGCAGTTTTATATGTGTGGAATGTTTGTATGTTATGTGGGATTTGCCAACATCAATTGCCACCACACACCTGCCACAATGCATTTTCACTTGTGTACGGCAAGATGCCAAGCGACNAATGTAATTGTATGCAGTTTTATATGTGTGGAATGTTTGTATGTTATGTGGGATTTGCCAACTTCAATTGCCACCACACACCTGCCACAATGCATTTTCACTTGTGTACGGCAAGATGCCAAGCGACTTGTGTGGAAACCCTGTAGGAATAGGGAAACATGGTGCGCGAAGCCATCACTTTTTCTTAAAGAAAAAATTTACCGCGAATTGAATACTTTTTGGAAAAAAAATTCAGCAAATGTATATGGTTTTAATACATACATACATACGTATGACGAGTATTTATATAAAATTTCTGCATGGTACCGGAATGGTACTTGGCTATAGCTGGTAAGTTTACTATTAAATTTCTTCTTTAAAAAAAGGTGCTGGTTTCACGCACCATGTTTCCATTGGTTAGGTGTCGCTAAAGTCGATATATCTATAAAACTGTTATGGTCAGTACATCGGTTAATTTACAATATTTTATTTCGATATCTGAAATACCGGAAACTTTTCTTAATGCTCTCTGGGCTTTTGGATTAAAAATAAAATTTAATAGTTAAAAAATTGCCTATTTTTGTGACCATATTGTTTCATAAGGCCCAGCTTTATGTGCAAAAGGATGGGAAGGGAAGGACCATATGATTTTATGTCCTGAAGCGGAAAATGGATTTGCGATATTCTGCCAGATCCATTTCCACAATAGCGACTTGCAAATATGAACAAAAAACAATATAATTTTCTGAATGAAAGATGGCAGCAAGCAGCGTTGCCTAATTGACGATTTTGCCGTTGCACCTGACGCCAACACGCTTTTTCTTTTAATCTAGAAGCCAATACCTCTGGAGATTCCCTAGATAGATAATTATTCTTGGGTGAAAGGTTTTGGCTTTGTAGATGCTTATTTTTCGAAATCACTATCAGAAATCAAATCAGAAGTATTGATTACAACAAATAAAATGACCGTTATATTCAAAACTACAAACAAAAAATCCACACCCAATATTGGCTTATTTAACAAACCACTAACGATGTCTCGGCACCAAAAAATGTTCTTCAAATTGTTGGCCTGTACATTTTAATTAACTATATCGTTTTCGATATTTCCGATATTCAATACACCGCTATTATTTTAGTAGATACATATATCGGTATCGGATATCGTGAATATAGAATATCGCGATACCGGTAAATCGAGCTTTCATTGCCGATCTGCATCCCTAATCCGAAGAAGATTTCTTAGTATCTTGCCAAATTTCCAATTATTCCCAACTATTAAAGAGCTTAATCCTTTTGGAAGTGATGCATTTTTAATTTCTCTTGATTTCCATATCTTAGCCACTTAGCAACTTTTCTCTCTAAGCTAGCAAAGCCTCTACCTATAGAGGAAGGAATATTCTTAAGAAAATAAATGAAAAAGGCATATTTATGAGCCGAGTCTCGAATTAATTTTGCACTTTCATAAATGTTGTATGCGGTTTTGATAAAAATTAAGAGAATAATCCTTTTCGAATACAAAAATTATTATTGGCGATCAAAAATATGGATTACTTAATTTTCACAATACCGGGAGTCAGAAAAATGCCCTATGCTTTCCCGGAAATAGTTATGTATTGAATTTTAATTTGCGCTGACAATTTATTTAATAGTCCGGGACCAGTGGTTAGTTAAGTACCTAAAGAGCTTAAATTAGAGAGGATAGACAAAGTAAAATTATTTGAGGGTGTACTAATTAATATTTTACCCTTATTACCGCTTATTCGATCCTTTTCTCTACATACAATTATTCTAGAGCACAGTTCGATTAAGTCCAGAGATAATCTTGCAGCCAGTATTAGCGTCTAGTTACAAAGAACAGCAACTACATATAGCACCAAGTGAGCTCCTTTCCCAAAGAAAAAATTTGTAGTGCCTTAAAACGGGTTAGTTACTAAGATTCTCCTCTCTTCAGCTTTCTACCAGTGACATTTGCCTCAATTCGCATCCCCTAAAAAATATAGATTGATCGTACACAGCTGAATCCTACGCTGATATCCGATACACTTACGGCGTGCTTCCATTTGGATTCTGTAAGAAGGATTTTCATGGATATCCCAGTTGTCTATAGCAGAGTCTCCAAGGTTTTTAAGCGACTTTCGCATGAAGCATTGTTCGTNATGCGCTTTTATTCGAAACCTAAATTTTTCGATACCGAGTATCGTGAGTATTGGATACTTAAAAGTATTGACTCAGCACATCACTACTGCTGTCATCTCGACTGTGGTGTCAGCAAAACAGCTGATTCTGCCAAATTCACTGAGGGCCGATTAGCGGTATTGCCGCCTTCTGTATTCTCTCCACCGTGATACACATGTATGTACCAATTGAGCAGCATCTGCAGGTGTTTGTAATAAATACTGCAATTGCGCTAAGAACTCCATCTCTCTTCTATCGTTCCATTTAAACACAAGTAAGAATACAATTACATACATTATTTTTTCACTTCCTTCACAAGCAATCAAACTAATATGTATTTGATTTACTTACACTACACCAATTCAATTGTACGAGTTATAACTATCAACGAGGATATTCTTTCGATAACAAGAAGAAAATATAAAGCAAGCCAATTATTATTGCTGTCAACGCATTAGGCTGCTTTGTATTGCAAATAAGCGAATTTGTAAACATATAAAGTATATTTGCAAATGCATGTAAAATATGCGTATGTATGTACATTTATGCTTGCATGTCGGTATGTCTACAACAGTGATGCCAGCTGGCGGGAAATTCCCTGATTTGCGGGGAATTTGTGTCGGTGCGGGGATTTGGGGAATGACTTGCGCTTTTTGCGGGGATCATTAAATAAACTACCTAGAGTGCAGAATACTTTTTGTAAAATTGTATTTTTTA